ATCTTGTTCATGTCTCGTTACTGTGAGTAATCAATATCTTAAACGCATGATAAAAAAGAAAAACTTACTTGTAAGTAGTTTTGAAGTCACATCGGTAATGGCCACCTCCTTCAAGCAACAGGGCCATGTTAACATCACCCTTCAGCACTCCATCACGCACATACATTTTCTCAGTGGATGGCTCCCATTTCACGGTTTTCTTCTGCATAACTGGACTATTGGCAGGAAAGTTCACCCCATCAAATCGAATTTCATAGAAAAAACAGTCACGGTTGTCGACGTCTTTCTTCATTCTAATAAAAAAGAAACAAAACATAGTCAGTGTTACCATGCATGCAAAGATAAAAGGAACACTTTGTCATCTACAGGCATAGTTGGTAATATAATTTAATAGGTGATACCAGATGAAACCAGTGGCGACTTTTGCCTTTTAGTATACATACTGAGAAGCATTTTGGAAAAATGTCTTAAAATGCATGTAGCCCCAAAATATATTTTTATCGGTATTAACTATTTGTATTGTGTGGAGCAAAATACCGCAACCAGTTGTGTTGTAGGTTAAAACTGCGATCTTTTATGAATTTATTATGTCGAGATTATTTAGTACACGACCGAGGACAACGGAGACTGAGGCTAGTGTCGTCAAAGAAGGAAATTGGCGCCAATTTAAGACTGAAGAGAAGAGGACTATATTTTGAAGAAGTTGTAATGAATTTCCGTAGTATGTGAATGAAATGATATTTTCTTGGCGATATTAAACATATGAGTTGTTTAGATGTATTATTGCACGTTCATCGTCCAAACTTCTCCAGATTCTAAACTCTGGAAGACTGTTTACACGAGCTTGCAAGTACCAGCTGATGTAGCGTACTCATTCCACAGGGAGTGTAAAGCTGAACTAAATAAACCGCAATCGCTTCGAAGATTTGCAGATAGAATTTTGGAATACTCTGACTTGGGATAACTATTTGCATGGCAATTCTCCGACAGAAGTATCACGTTTTGATTTTATTGTGGTGGCTATTCGTTCAGATCAGTAAACTATATACAAGCGCGAAGTGCCCCGAATCGAGTTGATTATTCACGTAGTACGTGTAAACAGACTGACAAGATTTGAAACTCTGACACAAATCAGATACAGTGACCAGAATCACTTAATACATTCAAACAAAGATAATACTTTGAGCCGAGAAGATAAATTACCTTGAATTCTACTAAAATTATTTAACCCGAAAGAACCAAAGCTATTGTAATTTTGATTTCATCGTTACTCATTCTTCGCTGCAGAATCGCCGTTCGATCGAACCTGATAATGAAATCTTGTGGTTCACACATTATATAGCAAGAAAGAAATAAGAAAGTTAAAACTGTACCGAAAGAAAAAGAAGGGGCATAAAGAGATTAAGAAGGCGCACAAATTTAATTGACTTGAATGGAACTAAAAAGTTCCTATAAATCTTCTTCGCGAGAGGCATCAGATTTACATCTTACTTACGTTATGTCATTTGTGGCGATGCAAATGCCCCCGTCTTCATAACTCATTGCTCGTTCCCAGGAATACCCATCAGGAAACGACTGCTTGAAATAGTCTACTATATTATCTGGGTATTTGGCGAATACCCTGTTGCCGTAATCGAATACTGNTCGCGTTATTTTCGCGTTTTGTGCATGCTCGTTACGGTTCTCAAATGAGTGACAGATTTACAGATTTCTTTACTAGGGCGATCATAGAAACCAGAAAAGCGGCGAAAGGTAGCTGCCAAAAAAAAAATACTGGGGTTGCAGACACTTTAAAGCACATGGTCTTAGATGTCCTACGGGGCACGATGAGGAATGAGATGAGATGGGGCACTTTGAGCTTGTGGTTCACACTATATAGCAAGACAGGAATAGGAAAGTTAAAACTGTGCCGAAAGAAAGAGAAGGGGCACAAGAGCTTAAGAAGGGGCACAAATTTAAGTGACTTGAATGCAACTAAAAAGTTCCTATAAATCTTCTTGGCGAGAGGCATCAGCTTTACATCTTACTTACTTTATGTCATTTGTGGCGAGGCAAATGCCCCCGTCTTCGTAAGTCATGCTTCGTTCCCAGGAATACCCTTCAGGAAACGACTGCTTGAAATAGTCTGGTATGTCTTTTGGGTATTTGACGAATACCCTGTTGCCGTAATCGAATACTGTTGTCAAGATATCGAAAGCGAAAGGCAGAGGTCCGCCGTCTATGACTGTCAGGTCCATAGTCTGTTTTCCCCTAAAACACAAATAAGAAACCAAAGACGTAAGAAAACGTACTATTCATATACAACGCGAACTTAGTTTTTGATCTTGAATCTTTTGTAAACATTAAGACATCGAAAGCTCCGCAAGACGTCGCACTAGTTTGCTGAAGAGATAGGTAGAGCACAATGAAAACAAATCGTTTGGGATAAATGACCACAAATGTGACGCGTTTAATTAAAACTAAGGCTACAAACAAAGATTAAAATATCTTTAGGAAAGGTGGGGTTGAAACTTTCGCCACCAGTAAAAACTAAAATAAAATACTTTATAAGATATGTTGAAAGTCTGCGGGTCGGTGACCGGGGAGGTGGAGAGAAAAAAGAACAAATACGTCTTAACGCTGAATAGCTGAAAAGTTCTTCTTGCGATGATACCAAGAGTACAAGGGGGCCGCGTGTATGAGATGACCAACCTTTTGTACGTAACTGGGAAACGCGCCTATTTTTCATTGGTCAGGAGAATACATGTATCTACTTTGGTTAATTGACGGGAATCGAAGAATAGTTCTGAAATTCTCATCAACAGCTGCCCATTACTGACTAGATAAAGCTCTAATTAAACAAGTGAATGTTTGCTTTTGACTTTGAGAGTCTGACCTCAAACTTTCAGAATGTGTAATTGTTGTCTTTTTTCTGGGAAATGTTTCGTGAGTTTCTTTTACACCAGCAAACCATAGATAATAGAAGGAAATGATTAGGGAGGCCAGTAAACGTAACATCAAAGAAGGAAACAAGCAGGCTAAGATTTATGTTGGAAGGTCTTTGACCCTGCACATCTTTCGTTTTATGCTCATTGACTGTGTATAAATTACACAATTGCAATGCTTCTTTTGTATTTTGGCAGGTTTTGTACAAAAATAGCCAACAAAAACATAAAACAAAGAACTTTGCCAGGTTTTCATTACAATTTCCCTGTATTATCTATACGCAAACATTACAGTAAGTTGGGAAGTTAGAGATAAAATGAATTGTCGAATTTTTCATGACCTCTAAATGCGAGCGTCCGAATAATCTTTTGGGTCCTTTTTAAAAAGCTACTAGTCTGAAAAAAAAAATGTGTTCGTTTGCCCTTAAAATTTGGACAGTAGCTAGTTTGACAAAAAAAAAAAATCGTGTCTACGGCCACTGCATGCTTTTTCATCCTATTTCGAAAATATTTTGTAACTTTTCACGGTAATTAAATATGGCAAATCGCAGACACGTTTCGTCTTAGCGCGTTGGGTCCGGAAACTGAGGAACAAATTAAATAAACGAAAAACAAAATTCGCTTCGAGATGTAGCTTTCAAAAGGTGGTTCGGACGCTCCCATTTAGAGGTCGTAAAAAATTAGACAATTCAGTTTATTTCAAACTTCTTGGTATAGTTTCACAGCCAGCTCAGTGAGCTTTAATTGGAAATAGGGGCCTAGGTATCTACAGTTTAAACCGGACGCGCAACATCGCTTGGACGTAAGACACCTCTTAAGGTATACGGTATCCTCAGGGGTCGTAAAATCATAGTTAACAGAAGCAAATAGTTATGAAATCCGACAAAGTTTTTTGTTTTCTTTTTTTTTTTTTGTATGCTTTTGCTCTCTTTTTTGGCCTTGATCGTGTACAAAACACGGTAGTTGTTTGCTCCGTACTGAGGAACTATCTAATAAAACCGTTTTGGTTACGTAATTCANGTTGTTTGCTCCGTACTGAGGAACTATCTAATAAAACCGTTTTGGTTACCTAATTCATTCGTAGTGTATGAGCGCAAACCAAAAGATTGTGCACGGTCGTAAATCTTCCAACATAAATCTTGGCATCTATGTTCTTTCCTATGATGTTTGCCGGGCTTCATAACCAGTCCTCTCTATTAACAACGGTAAAATCGAAGGAAAGATAGATAGACTTTATATCTGCTGCGATATCCTGAATGAAATATGGCTTTAGACGTATTCTTGGTATATTATGAAAAAAAAAAAACTAAGCAATGTTCAAAGCAAGGATGCCGTAAAACTAACCACAATGATTAAACATTTCTAAACTTTTACTTACTCGAAAGGCTGGCCTCTTCCTTCCCCTGTAATCACGAATTTGTGCCCGTTCACAGCTCCATCCATACGCAGCTTGATCTTCATTTCTGGTTTAATCACACTCTGCGGGAAGAAATTGGGATGAGTCTGAGATTAGTCACTAATTCAGAATAAGCAGTAGAGTAAATTCATCAGTCAAAAACAAAATAAAACCTTTTCTCGTGTAACACTTACCATGATGGTAGACGCAAGTAAGATTTTAGCCTAATACAGCTCTTGTTGTTCTCGATCTGCTCTCTTCCAAATCACCAGGGTGAATGGGACGTAAGCTCTGAGGATGCTGCTTTAAACCTGAATGTCACACCCAAAATTGAACCAATTACAAGCCTGGAACCCTAATTTAACAAACAACAACCCATTGTAACAAACAGCAACCCTTTGATGTCTATCGTATTAAGCCACACGTTTTCGTTGTTCACGTGAAAATCACATTGGAGTATCGACTAACAGGTGTAATGATGCGAGCTTTAATGGAATTACTTTAAAGAAGGACTTTTCGCAAGTGTAATCGTGTTAGCGTTTTATTACGTAATAGAGCGGTTTTCATTTGAGTGTCGAACGTAATCAGACAATTACTTTGGTTTTGGTTATACTACGGTTTTAGATGAGTTGAGTAGTCTAATTGGTAAGTAATTGATTTTGGTTTTGGTTTTACGACACTCAGTTGAAAACCGCTCAATCGTGTAATGAGGAGAAAGCCAATCGACCAGCTAAACATCTGCCTTATGTTTTAGATATGAACTAGCTACAAGGTCGCCTTGCCCTCTGTTATTATGTAACCTTTACTAAACTTTTAAGATGATTTCTGTAGAACTTTTGGGCAATAATGGCAAAAATATGGAAAGTTATCAAAAAAAACCTCATAGCATGGTAATGTTTTGAATAAAGGTAAGAATATCTCATCGAGACTTTAGCTCTCAGGCGGACCCCGCGGGAGAAAATTGAACTTGAAGTTATACATATTTCAATAAAAACCGACGTTTCGCGTTAGTTGGAAACACGATAACACACGCACTAAGCATTTTTAGGAGGTTTAACATCAAATTTCTCGAGAATGCTTGGGGATTTAATCGCGGGGTCACCTAGAGAAATGAATCACAGTGAGATGTTTTAAGGACGCTCGCACCAAAATTTTCCAGTCGATAGACTATTTTAAAATTCTTACTGCAGTCAGATAATGAGTTACTTGTGTCAGAAATGCAAAAAAAATTGGGGGTCACCTACTGCGTTTCAGAGATAAAGCGTGTGGAAAACTACTCTGATTTTGAAAAATTGGCACACGTAATTCAGCATGGTCTATAGGGGTTTATAGTTAAAATATCGAAGGTGAGTCAACAGAGGCAAACGATCTTAGTCATATTTTGTAGAAGTGGGTCCGTTGCGTAAATAATTCCAAATGTTACCAACGTTTCACAAAACTTAACCCTTCAAGAGGCATTTCAAACCGTCGCACAGGCAGATAAACGCAGAGCTAAAAAGAACGGAATTCGAATTCAAACTTCTAGTCGATAGATTTTCTTCATTTTTTCGCTAAACGTAGAGAATCGATAGAGAAAATGATCCATCAAAAGAAAAACAGGGGTCACCGAACGTCCTGGATTGTTAAATCTAGGCAAAGCTATAGCAATGGTCATCTGCCCTATCACTGTTTATTTTTTTTACTTAACGCGCTCTCATGCATGACGTGGCGCGTGAATTTGCGTGCGCAGTAAGGATGCGCAGAAACAATTAGCGCGAACGTCCTTAAATAGTATTCAAAAAGTTACCGTGCTATAAGTAGATTATTTAGTAAATAAACCCCTTCTGGCGCCTGGTATGTCGGCTGATAATGTCCGCGGTTGAGATATTGTCCAAAAAATGAATATTTGGCCGAGAAGCGAAGCTTCGAGGGTAAATGTGAAATTTTGAGGACAATCTCTCAGCCAAGGACCCCCACTCCAACATACCAGCGAGCCAGAAAGGGCTTTATTTAGTTATTTATTTTATAACCCTCCCATTAATTTTCTGCATATTTTGTTGACTTTTTTGTACTTATCGGAACAGCGTTGGCGACCAGTTTTTTTTTTTGTTGTTTTGTTTTGTTTTTTTTTTTATTAAATACAAGATTTCATGTAATACGAAGAAAGCCTTATCGTCATAATATAAGATCTGCCTGTTTCAGAGACATAATAAGTCAATTACTATCATAATCTCTAATTGGCTTAGTAGATTTAAATCAAACTAGTTGTCACGTCCTTGGTTTGTTATCAATCGTGCTCATTTTTTTCAAGCTAAAATTGGAAAGAAAAGGTCGGCGTTTTGGTTTTGAAATTAGATCGGAGTCCAGGATCATTCGATAACTTATCTAATACTCTGTAATAACATATGTAATTTGTATTATCCGTTACGTTACTGTTAACCCTCAATGTGTCGGTTAAGAAAGAGTCAAACTGATGGTATCAAAAGCGCAGTCATTTTTACAGCTACACTGCTCTGCAAATAGCTGGCGAACACTAGGTAGTTTAGCGTCTTTGGCTCGCGATTCCCCTGAAAAGTGAACGCGATGTCAACACGTGTCCAAGTACTTGTCAAATGGTGGGCCTAGCTATTTTTGTCAAGTGCAATCGTGTGCGTGGTCCATAAATTTATATTATGTAACAGGAGCAAATCAATCGGTTAGCTAAACATCTGATGAAATTAATCGAATTAAAAATTGTGTTTCGTTCTTTTGACTCAACTGTTCATCAGAGAATCTAAACTACTTCTTTAGGGGTGAATTGAAAACGAAGCGGTTGTTCCTCTAATATGCGACTATAGCAGTCTAATAGTGTAGTAAATGACAGTGTCGGTTGATAAATAGTGTTCCTAAGCTGTTTTTCTGCGCTTTAGCATGTTGTTGTCATCACGCATATGCCTTAACGAAGAGTTATTTCATCTTCTTTGATAACACATATTGTCAAAAAAACAACACAAAACAAAACAAAAAAGAGAAGTCAAAATGCTATTAATATGCACCTGCCTGAAAACGTGCACTGAGGGATCAGATTTCAAGATATGCGTGTGTGCGTGAGTGTGTGTGTGTGTGTATTTGTTCTGTCTGGATGAAACCACGTGGAAAGCAAAACTGTGTATCAACATCAATTATTACCTAACAGACAGACAGTATTGATTTTAGAGCCAAAACTTTCATTCAAATTATAAGTCCTGTATTTCCTACAGAAACAAAGAAACTTTTAATTTTCTTTCAAGCAAGTATATTTTTGCCCAGGCAATGTGCGTGATAATTCAACATTTTACATGTGTACCATGACATACCATTGTAGCAAACTCTAACTGATAAACTCCATTGTGTTCAACTCCTTGAACATATTACAATGAATCACTTATTAATTACTGCATGCAGCCTAATCAAAAGTGTTTGAAACTTCTTGACCGTTAGATAAAAAATAAATTAATTAACCTTGCTTCTTGTGCATTGTCAAATAGAAAAGTTTACATTTTCTGCAAAAAAAAAACAAAACAAAACAAAACAAAACAAACAAACAAACAAACAAACAAAACATATTGTCGTTAATCCAGGACCATCCGGATTAATTTCAAGTGCCGCAAGTATGGATGATCATTTCCCTCGTGGGAATGAATTTACTACTCACATGCAAACGCCTCCTCTTATATTTCATTCTTTGAATGAAAATGACCAGATTAAAGTCATATTTCTTTTTTTAATAAAGCCGTTGACAAATTAGGAATTTGAATTTTTCAGCGACAACACACTAGGTAATGCCTGAACAGGAAACACGTTGAAAGTATTCAACTGTTACATCTTACCGCAGCGGGCTCATACAAGCGGCGTGTCTATTTGTATGTTCGAAATAGAAAGAAATGTATGGAAGTATTGAAGAGTCTGAAGGTCATTCCACTGAAATAGAACCTGCACTGAGATTTTTGTCAAACTTTGCCTATTGACTGTTTAAATTGTAGGAACTTAAATTTGGAAATAAAAATGAAGGATCTCCATGTTCGTTTAGGAGCAACAGTACCTTGTTTATACCATATAAATCCTTACAATAGCACCATGATAACAGTCACGATTGCTTGCTAAATTCACGTTTCAGACGATTGTTTCTTGCTCAACACTGAGAATTGGCCCATATTTATTTTACATAGAGAAATTTATTACGCAATTCAACACAACAGAAAAAAAATGATAGGTCACCGTACTCGTTTTCGAGAAAATGACGATTCACCTCTATGGCGAGGTCCAGCCGCGAAGAAAAAGCCGCCATTTTTTTTAATGCGCGCGCGTTAATCACACGTGAAATTATGCGCAATAGGGATGCGCAATGCAATACTGGGGAAGGACCTTAAAATGGTAAACTTATATCGAGTAATGTCGATGCTAAAGCTCAAAATAAACCTACACTTACCTCAATTGTTGTGTATTGTCGTTTCTGCGGCTCAAAATGGCGAATTTGAGCGATTTGGTGAGTTTTGCGTTAACAGTTACTACACGTTATAACAAAGCAAAACCCGGGGGGGGGGGTGAACTTCCAGAAAAGTTGGGTGAGGGTGTGCGGCCCACTTCCCAAAACCCTTACCCTATTTATGACATAATTATCTAGCAGTCATTTAATCCAGTATTGTCAGCACAGCTATTATCCTTTAATTTCTGAAAACTGTCCAATTTGGGATTTAACTTGCACAGTTTTCAATAGGGAAGATCGATTCACAACGGAAATGATCATACTTGCGGCACTTGAAATTAACCCGGATAGTCCTGGATTAACGACAAGATTCCCAAGTTTCGGAAGATCGAGGGCCCAGTCTGTTTTTCTTCAGAGACAGTTACTGTAGTTTTCCATGCAAAGCTGTATTACCTCACGAGCTATATAATTAGTAAGTAACAGGACTATGCTTGTCCAATTTGGAAATAATTGGATTCAAAAAATTCTTCTAACAGCCAAATTGGACTTGGCCTGCGGCCTAGTCCAATTTTGGCTGTCCTCGGATTTCTTTTCATCCAATTATTTCCAAATATTTAGTTGGACAGCATCTAGTCCTATTACATATACAAAATCTGCGTT